TAGATAGATAGATAGATAGATAGATAGATAGATAGATAGATAGATAGATAGATAGATAGAGCTGGCTGCCTGCTCACACCAAGCAAGGACAAATAAGAGGGGGACGGAGTAGCATTCTAGCAATCATTTTGTGACTGCACTTACAACTTATGCTCCAAAGGGCAAAAATTCCCACCAGTCCCCCAAAGTTGGGAATCTCTGAGTAGATCATTGCTTTGGTAATTATTGGATTTCCTACACCAGAGTCACTGGGCAAGTGGATGACCTTAGAAATTGAATTAATAGATAAAATAACAGGAAAGGGGACTTCTATCCTATTGGATAGAAGATAGAAAGGGACTTGGAGTCTCAACCCTATAAAGAACAGTTAGAGGAACTGGGTCTGCTTAACCTAAACAAGAGAAGGCAAAGGGGAGACACGATCACATCCTTCCAATCCTTGAAGGGCTGTCCCAGGGAAGAGGAGGTGGATTTATTCTCCATCACTCCCAAGAACAAGACAGGAATGAACAGGTGGGAGCTTTACAGAGGAGGGTCCAAACTCAAAATAAGGAAGAATTTCCTGATCTTGAGAGCTATGAAGCAGTGGAACAATTTGTTTCTCGGAGTCATGGGGGCTCCATCAGCAGAGGTGTTCAAACAAAGATTGTCTGGGAGGTTTGAGGGTTCCTGGGGTGGACTAGAAGACCTCCAAGGTGCCTCCCGACCCTATGAACTCACCGCCTAAAGTTTCCTTCTTCCCTGGCCTTTGTTTTTGCATCTTCTGGGACCTCCCAGGATCACAGCATGAACATTCAGCACTGGAGCTGCAAGATCAAGTTTACAGTTAAGAGTTGAGATATGGAATGATGAGTTTTATATTTGTTAACTAAGAGGAGGTGAAGAGATAGTGAAATTGTTTATACTTGTGATGCGGGTGGGAAGTTGCGTTCTTAGGGGTTTTTTTCTTTTTTCTTTTCTCTATTTTCTCTTTTTTGCTTTTTTGCTTTCTTGCATCTTTTATTCTTTCTTTCTTTTTTCTTTTTAGTTTGTATTATCTTTTATTATTGTACGTAAAGCTTTTAATAAAAATATTATTTTAAAAAAAGGAACCGCAGGATCAAGTGGTTGGGATTTCCAGCTTTTTTGGAAAAGAAAATCAATAGCAAAATGGGAAAAGGTGCATGATGTGTTGATGCTCTACGGCTGCCTTGCAAATAAAGTGGGGATCCAGTCCTCGTGATTCTGAATAAAGGATTGATTTAAAAAGATAGGAAGGATCTGATACCAAATGAGATGTCTCGGACTAAAGTGGAAAACTTTTGCATGCTTGTTCTATGCCAGTGTTTCTCAGCCTTGGCCACTTGAAGATGTGTGGACTTCAACTCCCAGAATTCCCCA